ACTAATTCTCAAAAAGAAATTGTAATCGTCTCACATCTCTTCCGAAACGATCAACAATTTCTTCATAATATTTGTTATTATTAATTAGATCAATTAAATCTAATCTAATGTTTTTAATGTTTCTAATAGTATATTACTATTTTTATAACCACTTTCAACTTGTTATATAGTATATAGTAATTTATCTTAAAACATTCAATTAAAAAAAAATATTTTGAAAAAGCCAGGGGGGAAGTGCCCCAGCTTGCCCCCCTGCGGGCGCCTATGACAAAATGTTTATCTAACCATATTTAGTCATTAAATTGTCTTTTGATATCTCAAAAATACAGATAAAACTAATTTATTAGATTGTAGGTTTTAGAGTGTCATATAATTAGGTATGGTTTTTAAATTTTTAAATTTTAATATAAGTAGGTACATACTCCATAGCTATATATAGGTATATATAATACTTCGACTATCCTGTGCTAATCACGTGATTATCAATATTTTGCGTACAATAATGTAAGCCTCTATGAACATTTCAAGGGGAACGACAAAACAATATCAGTTTTACATTTATTTATTATTTTTACCACTTCATCATTAGTACAACCTATAAGTACCATTATATAGATCTGATTGCTTTAGGTGGGGCTAAATTCTAAGTTCATACACCTCAAAATTAAATTAAATTAACAACGTCATTATTCAGTAGACTAACCTATAAATAAAATGTACACATTTACTTAACTTATTTGAATGAACTCACTGCTAACGCTTAGAAGATTTTATTTTGAAATTCTTAACTTTATTCTTTGCCCTTGTTTAATGGTGTAGTACCTACAATATTTTGCAACTAAATGAGTAGATAATTGGGATCTGATGGTATTTAAGTACTTACTATAAATGTCTGTACCTGTATAATGGCATGGATTTTAAAATCAATCATGTAGTRTTGTTAATATTTCTTACATATTATGTGTATTGTTTATACAAATTATTGTTTATAATATTATTCTGTTTAATTCAATACTTAGTTTGAGAAATCTTTTATATAATATGTTTTTATTATGAACGTTTACAATGAGAATTAATAATACTTAACAATATATACTTATATTTTATATGATAGGTACATTATTAATACACACCTATAGTAGGTACTTATAGTAAATCATAATTTAGATTTTAATAGAATTTGTAGTTTCAAGTATCTACTTTATATATACSTAATTAAAAATTAGATATAAAAAGAGTTAACATTTTAAAGAAAGAGATAAATCGTACTCTATAATATCTTAGAATATTTAGATACAAAATAAATTATTACATTTTTTTAAATTAATGTTTACTATATGTATGGAAATTACAATGAACTTATTGATTTAACAATAATAATGATAGATAACTTCACTAAACCTAAATTATTTTTAGAATAAATAAACATTTAGGGAGGTAATTTTTTATAAAATAATAGTTAATTGTATATTTTCATATATTACAAAAATTATAACATACTAACATCATAGTTTTTTTAGATGATCTTCTTTGAATTTAATATTGGTTCGTCATTACTTATAATTTAAAATTAAGCTTACGACACAAATGTTCAGTATAGGAACGAATAAGAATATCAGTGTTAACGCCTCGTTTAAATTGATTATTTTTTTTTTTGAAGATTTGTTTTGTCTTACAAAGTGTTGTGAATTGTAATCTCAATAAAGGGTAGGTATGCGTACCTAGTTATTCTTAGTCACAATAATGACTTATGCACAACAATGATTTACCGGCACCATAATATTTTAATGTACGCCTATAATACAATATTACAATATACTATACATTTTCGTTTAAATGAACATAGCTTTTTTTCTCATGATCTATTATTTTTAAAGTATTTTTGTAAGTAACATTTTRGGTTATTTAAACATATTAACAATTAAACTACAATTTTAAACTACACCAGCAGTCAAAATACTCGTCAAAACGTGTACCTATATCTGTATATATTAACGCTAATCATAACGCAACAATTCAATTACACGCTGTTGAGAAAATTATTGTCGATTTCAAAAACAGCCGTTTATATTAGTCTCGAACTGAACAACTTATTCAGCTCAAACAGTTGTAATATTTCATTCGAACGATCACAATGGAGAATTCGTATACATTATCATGCGCAAACGACGCAAAACTTAACTATAAGTCGTCGCGGAAAACGATAAATAGCTTAATACTCGCACGCCAGCCTTCCCATTCGTACGTGACTGGAATTACGAAAACTATGTTTGTTTTCGGCAGACCGTGCGGACTCTGATTAGATCAGATCCGCCGCTTATTACCCGTAGTCCCTGCAGGGTATATTAGAGCTTGATGTTCGCCAACAAGACACAAGTACACTTATTTACTCAGCATATAGTTTGGTAAAGTAAAAAAATAGAACGTAAGCCTCGAAGTGGGTAGGTATCCAACAACGGAACAACATTGGTCTTTTAAAATATATATATACGCCAGCTGACTATAATATTATGGTGTAATAAAAATTAAATTAAATTACAACAGAACAAAATAGATTGTATATTAAAATATTAATGCCTATAGACATTTGGCAGTATACCTATCTATAATAAGAACCTATTTTCTACAAGTATAGATACTAATATAATACTATAATACCTACCAATAAATTTTATTTTTTATTTTTTATGAATTTAGCAGAATACCATACAACAACTGAGGATAAAAAGATAAAAAAAAATCGTCACAGCTTTTATTTGGTCCGTATAGCTACGTTTGCGTGGATCAATAAGATTATATTTATATTATTACATAGATATATACGCAATAATAATATTTGTAATCATTATATAAAACAGTAATATGAAGGATAATAAATGCATTCAAATTCAAATACGGAAAAAAGTAGCAACACAACTGGAAATCAAAAAAAAAAATGTGTGAATTAAAAAGATAAATGTACATTTTAATATTATAATAGAGAAACGATTGTAATTTATTATGTGATAGCTTGGTTTAATGTATTGCATGTCAATTAATCAATAACAATATTATGCAAATATAAAAAAGTATATTGTATAAGTGTAGGTAAAATAGGTACCAACATATTATGGTGTATTATAGTTATATAAATTATGATAATTTCTTAAAGCTTGTATAAAAAAAATACTAAGCGCGAGAGCAGCGTGTTGTTCATAATTTGGTTACTCATATTTTTGGCTACTCGAATAATGTTTGTTAGATTTATAAGCGTGACAAAAAAAAAAAAAAAAAAAAAAAAAAACATAAATAATGCGATATAAAATCACATCGTTCTCGTGAACAGAAATGAATAAGCCAAATAATACGATCAGTGCGTTTGGTAAAGATACTAACAAGTTGTTAAAAGCCCGTAACCCCGCATATATGTATACCAACTACTAAAGAATAAGAGATAGAGGCGTGGCCCTCTATACAAAACGGCAACCAATAAGGTCGTTCCGTTCACTTCCCTTTTCTCACCCCATGTACTGGTAGTTGTTTCGCCAACCCTCGCCCCCTTGTTAAGTAGCCGAATGGTTTTTACAATCGTTCTCTGTATGATCAACTCCATTTCGTAACAGTCGACCACATGTGCGCTGTAGAAACACATCGATTGATGCTGCAGTATTATTTCGCATAAATAAACCAATCAAATTAATTGATCATATTAATTACCCATTTATAAAATAGCTGCTGAAAACGCGAATCATTTAATTATGTCGCGGTCTGATATCGAAGAAGACTCGTGTTCCAGAGTACGGTACTCGGCGAGCCCATTAGATTTAAAACAAAAACCAATAAGTGATTCTCCGTCAAAATCGAAGAAAACTTCGTTTTGTATTGAAGCRTTGCTAGGCCACCGTGAAGTTTCCCGCAAGACATCATTRACCGCGTCATCAGACTGTTCGTCTACCCCTTGTTCAAGCCGCAGTGCTTCAATATCTCCTGGGCCGGAACAACAATACGGATACGAAGGTAAACACAGCGACGAAAACGATRCGATTTCGACCACGGCAATGCGATCATTGACTTACAGTTCCAACTACTTGAAGTCTGACTTCCCAATCACTTCATCAGCTTCCGAACTTTTAACCCGCGACCATAGACGGAATKGCGGGTTTGGGTTTATTCACGGATCTTCAGCATTTCAACCATTACCTCGTATAGACACGAACACCAATAATAATTCTTCAAGCTCAACAATCGCAACAGTTTCAGCCACAACTGCAAATCCCAATCGCTCAAATGTATCTGCTGGCCAATTACAACAGATGCAACTTGAGTGGTTTGCTAGAGCAGGAATGTTTTACGCTGGACCTAGATTGCATGATTTAGCAGGTAAAATATATTTTTCGTTATWATAAACAATATMATTTTTATGATATTTAATAAGTTTAGAGACTAAAAAACTATTTATCTGATTAACATATATTATTATTTTCATAAAGTATAAAGATTGATTGAGTTTAATAAATATAATTATAATATTAAGATCACTATAGGTGTATTATATTATATAAAAATTAGAGAATTCATTATTTTAAATGTTTTAAAAAAAAATGTCTTTATAATAGCGTTACACAAACCGGAAAAAATTCTAAATACTTCTAACCTCTATTATTTAATATTGATTTCTTTGTAATCGTTATTGAGTCTACGTTCTGTAAGGATTTCATATAAAAATGTGATTATTACAATAATTTACTTTGTAATATACTACGCTTAATTAGTTAAGTTATATTTAACATTATAACATTAGTAGGTATAGTTATACTTTTTCCAACTACCTGAAAGTTTAGTTTATCATCAACTAATAGAATAAAACCAAAATCATCATTATTTTATTAAATTAATTTTTTTAGTTGAAATAAAAAATAATAAGTATAATATAATATTTCTAAATCAATGTTGATAGTCTTACTATTACTTACAATTTTATCATTAATATTTTTAAAAATGTTTGAGTGTTAAGACYTCCCCTATAAACAAAATAATAAGTTTTACTTCTAATTTTGAAGTACTTAACTAGCTCATAAAATTATAGAACTTATAAAAAAAAAAGTATTATTGAAAAATATAATCTAAACTAACTTATTATTTTATTTCACACACTCACTTTATAATGTTTTACTTGTAGTATTTAACTTTTTTAAATATCAATACAATACTTTTATGTTCTAACTATACCTAATAATAGATTGTCATCGAATTAAATCTRTTTATAATACTAAATGTTCTCCAAATAGTGAAAGGTATTTACTYATCGGTTTTAAAATCTAAACTGTATTCACATTWCATGTCATGTAAGTTGTAGATATCTACTTGATAAATTGAACAAAACTTTATATCTTAATGTGATGATCCAAATTAAATGAGATGAATTAAATTATAATTTTTCATAGAAATAGGAAAATTGTTTATTTATTGATTTACAATATCGAATAGTTTAAAACAAGTATTTCAATCATACGTTTATTTTTATGAATAATATATAGATGATAATATATGTTATAGCAATTTATGTTATAGCAATTACATGCAAACAAAATAAATAATTGGTAGATATGAAAGACTGAACTTTTATTGGAATTATAAAAATATATGCTAATCTTACCTATATAAAGCTGAATATACAAACACTAAAATACATCAAAGTTGGATAGTTATTGGTAGGTACTATGAAATTATCGCTATTTGCTGGTAATAATATTTAAGTTGTTCATAAAGTTAATAGTTTTTGTTTTAAATCAGAAATCGTAAGTTCACATAATTATTCTCAAGTATGATCYTACTATTAGGTCAATGCATCGTTATCTGTATTGATGGGTTTTCYTGTTTGCATRATATTGAATTAAATCGGATAATTCTAAATACATATTTTATCAAATTTCAATAAAGTATTATATTTACTATATTCAGCTATTGATGGATGATGATTATAATCGAATTTTCTATAATTAATAAACCGAAAATTAAATACAATAGCAGATTAATAAAAAATATAATCTTTGATGTCTGAATTGATCTATAACATAATGAATTCTTTATTCAAAAGAATAACTACCTATATAATTTTAATTGAGTTCTTAAAATTCAGATACAAGAATGTCAACTCACGATGAGTCAAAACAGGTGATCAAATGAYCATATAAATCTATCATGATCTTAAAAACGAACATTATATTTAACAAATACATAATATTATAATATGATGTTATACGTGTTTGTAATCAAATAGATCAAAAATGTATCATAGGTATTAGGTATAAGTAACCGCCAAACGTATATAGGCATCAACTTAGAATCCACATCAATTCGGGAGTGTGTGAACTCTGAATATACAAGTATGCTTCAGCTATTTCATTCCTGAGGAATGATTCTTTCAAATCCCTTGTTCAAACATCTTATTCGTGCTCCGCTTTTATTTATTTATGTATTATTTCAGTCAACGCCAAGCAAACGTGTAAACAAACGCATACCTCAGTTTTTTTTTTCATGAAGTTCTTTTCAGTGTAAACTATACRGCGAAATACGAACCTGATAGTGATATCTTGCAAAATGGCGCTTGTATTGATTCCGACGTCATATTCKTGTATAGGTACCTATTGTAGTTGAAGAACGGTCAACGGGTCAATCTAACCTAACCGGTCTGCAGACTACGAATCCGCCTTTACTCGATTTCAGATTTGAACTTAATAGAGTTATTATAGGTGTTATATACATCACGAGTATAGTTATGTAATGAGTGTATTAGTTTTTTTTTTAGAATTTTCTCAATCAATTGCAAGTATACATGACGTGTGCAATAGGTATAGACCAGAGATCGGACAGTTATTGGTATAAAAAGGAATTTATTTAACATTTTTGCTTTCAGCCGTAAGTATATTCTGAGTTTTGAACTAATTTCTGTCCTCAACACGCAACGACCACTTTGATTTGACTGTATAGATAGGTCATGTGTAGGTATAGTTGAATTTGTTTGTAGGCACTGTGGTTCGGTGCAGTATAAATGCACCTTTYTAGATTGATCGAAAGTTTGATTGGTTTGTAATTAGCAAAGCTCAYATTCAGTAGYCTATAGGTGTTGATTCGGCATAATATCTGCAATCGACAAACTTTTTTCAACAAACGCATTGTCGCACGTGTGCCGTCGGCGCTATTTAATACCAAAATTATTGTTGTTTTTTTTGTCAGTTTATTGTATACGATTTAGAGTTAACGAAAGAGCATACGTAATTGCATAAATAAAACATTATTAAGTTATGGAATGATAAAAATACAAAGAATAGGTTTTAATGTGCTGTGCGTTTATTTATTGATTTTGTATCAATGTATCATGATTTGCTTCAATAAAACTATCGTTGTTAATATGCTTCAAAGCATAAAACAGTGAGCTTTTGTATGAACACTGTATCTAAAAATATACATACAAAACAGGCATAACATTTTGTTTAGATAGTAAAAAAAAAAATTAAATGTAAAATATATAATAATTGTCTATTTATTTTCGATAAATTACTAAAAATATTATTGAGTTAACCCGCTATATTTTATTTGGTTACAAGATTTTTACAATCCATAAAATTAGAATTTATTAAGTTAAATATTTCAAATATATTATTAAATAAAAAAAATTTCAAATACTTACTACTTGCTCATAGTATGAGTTAGATTAGGTTAGGTATTATGGGTATTGGTTATCACAGAATACGGGGTTTTCAATAATATTTTGGCGAACATTTTACTAATTGTATTTTTTAATGTCTTACAACAGATTGTAAGTATTAGGAAATTAAAATTTTGGTGAGTTTTTATATCTCTTAATAACTTAACATTTTGCTAATTCAATCACTGCCTTTTTAAATATTAAAAGTCCAATGTTTGTAGATTGTAGGCAAGCCTACTTAAAATTACTTTATACTTGGCACAGCCATAGTAACTGATTATGGCGCTGATTTAGATGGTCACATTTGATGAAGATGATAGAGCTAAGTATTATTCAGGTCTCCAATTTAATAAAGCATTAATACAAATCTTAAAAATGTCGTTAATATCTTGAAAATTCAGTAATTCATTAAGGTACACCAAAATCACAAATTAAATTCCAAATCTTACACTCTATCAAATATTGTTACTTAAGTAACAATATTTAAATACGCGCTGAATGTCTAAAATATTTATATAATAAAAAAACAATTTATAAAATGCGTGTAAGAAGTTTCAATCTACTGAAATATACTGAAATCTACTTAAAAATATGAAAAACAAATAATAACAAATTGAAAAATAACCAAAAATATTTAAGAAATCAAAAATGCCAATTTAAAATTTGTGTTAAGAAATCTGTATTTTACGATTATAACTAAAAAAAATCCATTTTTCTACAAATATACAGCCCTATAGATGTTATCAACTAGTATAGTATATGGTACTTATTACTATTAATTTATTGTACTAGTTATTAGATATTTTTATACCTACTTATGTATATATTCAAAACTACATTTTCCAATATGATTCCGAACATCTTCTTAACTTTTAGATTCTTAACGGAGCAATGATATCGTTAGTTTAAATCGTTAAAGGCGTATAGTCCAAAATAGTAAATTTTACAGGAGAAGAAATATTATATGATTAATTCAGATCAGCTWAATGAGATTTTCTTTAATTTTCTTAGTTTGAATTATTTAATCACGCCATCACGATGTTGACTTCATGTGCAAATTTTGATTACTAATATGCCAAATACAACTCAAAATACTTTAATTGTTCTATATAAAGCGATCATAAAAAAAAAATTTACAAAATAAAACAAAATTTAAAATACCTATTAAAATCACTTATCTCAGTTTTGCACGATAAATACCGTCCACGGACTAAGATTTTAGTATATGATATCATTGTTATTTTTATATTTTATTAACACAATTTCCACTATTCCGTGGAAATATATAAGTATAGAGATATTATTAGTATAGTATATAGTATAGTAGATATAGTATTGTAAATTTGACAATTCTAAAGCTCAACTTTATGAAATTTTCATACACAAAACCAGCATAAAAAGGTTGTATAACAGCAATACATACACTCCAATACCTTCCTCATTACATTTATTGTATAAAATAAAATAAATTTATACATATGTTAACTTACATTATTTGTTTTATTTATTTTCTTTACTTAATAATGTTCTGTATTCTAATATGAAGTGTCAAAAAGTTAACCATTGAATCCTTAATACTCTCTTTTAGAAAATATTTCTAAAAAGTGAATAATTACTTTGTCTGGAAAATAAAGATACTATTGTCCGACAAAGTAAATTAACCTTAACATTA